GAAAAATAAAATTAAGGATGAAAATGATCCCAACGCTCACCTCATAGTCTAGAGTCGTGCATTTAACCTATCAAGCTTAAAGCATCTGTAGTACTTCAGCACAAGAGCTTTCTTGGTGTGTAATGCCTTTGGAAATTGCACTCCCAATCATACTTTGAGAACAAAAGTAAGATAGTGTCTGCAACCAAGAAACTAAAGTGGGCTTGCGTATGACATCTTCAGATTCAGAAACTTGTGAATGTAGCTCATTAAGAACCAATTTCTGCCCATCTTTTGGTAACTGGACAACCAACTGTGCTAACAGCTTCAACAAGTTTGGCAACACCTAGGCAAGTAATTATAGATATCACATAACTCGATAAATAGTAACAGCTTCATCACATAACTCGGTAAATAGTTTCAAATCTCACATTGTTTAAGGACACTGGTGTATTAATTTCCGTCAGGACAGGCAATCCAGAGAGTGAATCAACATACATATGAAAATAGAACTAAGGAAAAAGAGAAACACTAGATTTAAACTCAAAAGAAAAAAAGAAAAGGAAAAGGCAATAGACATAAATTGTCCTGGATAACTTTGCATTCGTTACAAATAACTTATACCTGCATTTTTCTGAAAGCAACTTATTACCTGTATATCAACCAGAGAAATAAGCCTCAATAGCAACTCTATTATCTTTTTACAAGGCTCAGATTCTCCTTGCCAATTCTTCCAGACATCAGTCTCCTGAGTGAAAACTTCGGTGCAAAGTTTTGTAGCTTTCTCAACAAGAGAATTGACACAAAAAAATATGGCTGGACTTCCAGCAGGAAGATGTCGAATCAATGCTGCAACCCCAGAAGCCATACCCTCAAATGGAGTAATCCCAGGATATCCCTGCATTCACATCAAAGAAAATTTTCATTACCAAAACTTTATTGACACTGCTAATATAGGATCATCAAGATTCTGTCACTTTCAATACCTCCAAAGATCTTTGCATGTAATAGAAAACAAGTTGCTCCTTCAACAACCTTCTTTCATTACCATCAGAAATTTTCTCGGAAGAAACAAATGCTACAAACAGAGAATGTGATGCTCGAGCTACTTTTCTGTTTGGATGTCCCATATATCTAACCGTACATGTAATAAGGAACGGAAATTTGTATTCCAAAGCTATAAATACTGAAAAATAGAGTGTACATGTAATCACAATTTGTATACTATACCTAAGTACCAAAAAATGGAGCGAAACTAGTTATTTGAGTGAGGATACAGAAACATAATTGGAGCAACCACTCTCCTAAATAAAGGAGCTGGCAAATGTTCAATGCAAGTTGGAATAACTCTCAGGTAGAACAACATGCGAGCAGTTTGTACCTCATCCTTGGACCATATATTTTCCATTTTTGGCATAAATGACGAGCCTACAAGGCAAGAAGTTAAATTCTACCAAAAGCTAGCAATTCAATGTCTAAGATGAAAAGAACTCATGTGAACCTTCATATTATCACATGAATTTCTGGATCCTGAAGATGAATGGCCAATTAAATGGAAGACAGACATTACCTTGCTGATTTGTCAGATCATCATAAGATGGTATCGATTCTATGAATGACACAAAAGCAGATTCATTCTTCTGAACATTGGCAATGACCGCTCGAATTGTGTCCATATATTCTGGCAAACGCATTCTGCGGAAATACTCCACACAAGAGAATGAAATTAATATCTGGACTGATGTTTCCATTTGTAATTCCTGGGAGTATTTTGAATTTAGCCTGTGTTTTGTAACAGCTAATGCGAAAAGTACAACCATAAGGAAAGCAGATTCAGCTATCTTCTCCATATCCCCAAGCAATTCATCTTCCACACCACGAACCAACAAAGCAACCTGTCGGTGTTTCAAGTAAAGATCTTGACAGAAATCCCATATAATTTTTTCCACTATTCTTCTGTTGTCTTCATCTGCTGATGCGTACTGATTGCAAAACACACCAGTTATGGCCCCAGCTTCTTTAAAAGGAATACTATTAAGATGCTCTTTAACCATGTTGAGCCCTAGTCCAGGAACAATACCGTTATGGGACTCAAGGACCACTTTATATATGTGCCGTAAAGGAAACACTTCAGTTGATAATGTTGAACCCAAACATATAAATAGAGGATTGCTGAAAGATATTGGCCCACATCGAGCCAATGCTACTGATAAACATTGTAGCAGAAGACTGTCTGCAGGACTTTTGCCCCAATAATAAACTCCTTTGATGTTAGCAATCAAACATTGTGCTATAGATTTTATCTGATTTTCTGCAGAGATCCTTAGTTTGAAGATGTTGTCCAATCCCTGCCCACCTGATATAAATCTATTAAAAGCTCTCAACACTCCAGCTGCAGTCATGACAATGGCAAATGGAACATAACTGGGCTTTGAAGTTTCTAAAGCCTCTTCAACAAAGACTTGAATTTTAGCAAAAGACTGAGATTTGATGAAACTAGATATAAGCCATTCAACTAAATGAAGAATCATAAGCCCATGAGAAACAGTCCCAGCAGGTCCCCCTTCCTTACCCCAAATTCCAAGCAAAGCATCCAAACATCTGGCGCTATAAACATCTAAAGAAGAAGATAGAGCATACCCAATCCCTGCAAGGATTTCAGAAACAAGTCCTTCTTCTGATCCAATCAGTCTGTACTCTCCTTCCAGAAGACCGCAAAGCAACTCCAAGCAAACATTTTTTGACGCTTCAGACAACAGAGGCCTGCAGGCAAAAGCCCCCAAAAGAAGAACGCCTTCGGCCAACAAGGAAGGACTGCTGTTAGAACCAAGCTTAGAAGTAAACACTTGAGAAAGGACTTCCACAGCTGAATCAACGAGCACCAAGGATGGCCTAAAAGACTTCCTGATCCAGACATAAAGAAGCCTGAGAAAGAGAGGATATGACTCACAAGGGAGAGCAAGATTCTGAGAGGATAGAATGGATACAAGAAGCTTTGCTTGTGGGTCGGCAACGTGAAGAGTAGCTTGCGAGTTAAGTAGGGTTTTTAAGGCTTGAAGGTGACGGGTATTGAATGATTGATTCTGTAGTGAATCTCTAAGCTCGGCCCATGCTTGAATAATGGCTCGTGCAGACGATGCAGGTGGCCTAGACGCAACAGTACCACTCCTACTATCACCACTGCCGGTACTGCTCCTCAACCATTCTTCAAGAAAAAGGGTATTCGCTTGTCTTGCCATTTTTATTATTATACCCGGCTGCAAATGAACTGGAAATTCCCAATTCAGATAATTAACCTCTAATCATCTACCTACAAGTTCCATATTCTAAACAACATAGCAAATGAAGATTGAAGCAGAGGACTGAAAACGCATCAAGTTCAGCTAAATCTATCAAGTTCCAAGCATTGAACAGTGATTTTCAATTCTACAGATGTCCCATGTTTCCAACAACCAGAGTTCGACAAAAGAAAATAAGCATATTGTTAGAATCCAAGACGGAGAATAACGTCGAGAGAAAATTCATTAGATTGAGAAAGAAATGGAAAATCAAACGTTTACGTCATAAACCGCAAAGCTTCTTCTTTTCAGTTCTCCTCACTGTTTAATTTTCCCTGAAAAAAAATAAGAAAGTGAAGCAGTCCAAGACAAACTGCTTCTCATCAGAGTTGAAGGCTTCTGTTTACATACCTCGGGATGCGGCCCTGTTTTATTATTTTATGTATTTAAATTAAACTATATTTACTAAAAATCATAACTTTTTTATTTTCTTCGGTAAAATTCGTAACTTTTCGTAATTTAGACATTATGTAATTTTGATATTATCTTATTTAATACCTAAATAACATTTAATTGAGAGGGTTTTTTCTTTTTTGGTAAAAGAGTTAAATTATTATTTGAGAATCTCGTTGCTTCAGCTGTGATGAGTTATCGTCTTCCAAGTATCTTCACTCTCTCCCATTCGCTGCTTATTCTTCCCTATTCTCACTTCACTCTCAGGTGCTTCCTTCCTCACTTTATCTGCAAACCCCATGGCTCATGCGTGTTTACACAATTTATTTGCACATAAAAGCTTCGCTACATATCTTACTTCACTTTACGCCAGCTGGAGTTTTGCTCAGTGTGTTGTAACTTTTATGTGCATTCTTTCTCTGATTTTGTAGGGTTTGGTATTGCCGGGGTAGTGAAATGGAAGGCCGTGATCTCTCGGGGGTCACAGTAATAGGTGATCCACAGTCTCTGGAGAATAAAATTTCCGCAATTCGCGCCGCGGGTGCGGCCAAACTCCAGGTTTATTGTTCTTTTTTTTTGTTTCACTTCTTGTTCAAGTATTGTAATTGGCGGCTTTACCTTCTGATACGTTGCTTGCAATACGTAAAAAAGACGGGAATGATTTACAAAGATATTTATGTTAGTATATACCAATATATTAATTGTACTCATTTGGATTTGTTCATCTTTGCTAGATATTCTAATCTTCTATATAGGTGCAGTGCCACAATAATGATGTGCTATATTAGAGGATTGGTTTTTCCAAGTATGAATTTAGAATAATGACTTGTCATAGTTTATTAGTAGGAATTCGAAGTATGTGTAGCATGCGCAGTCTGCATGATTCTACTGGCATTGTGTTTATTTGGGTTTTGATTATCAGGTAATTGCTGATTTTGATGCAACTTTAACGAGGTATTGGATCAATGGGACTCGAGGACAAAGTATGTTTTTGTGATTCCGGTTCTTATTATGATTTTGTTTCATACTCTATTCCAGTTTTCTCTAATAACATCTGCAGCCAGTCATGGCCTTCTGCAGCAAGGGAATCCGGAGTATGATGCCAAGAGGCAGGCATTATATGAATACTATCACCCGCTTGAGTATTCTCTAACACTCCCTATTGAGAAGAAAACAAAACTCATGGAAGAATGGTATGTAATTTGATCATTCAATACTGAAACTGCTGTGTCCCAACAATTTTTGTCCTTGCAAGTTCATTCCACTATATATTTGTAGATAGCTACTGCTGTTCCTTTTAGTGAAAACAAAACGGACTTCCTGCTTGCAGGAGGTATAGTATATCGATTGGTTCTTGTTCTTCCATGTAAATAAATGCAACGATTCACGCATATATTTTGCATATTAGTTGAAGAGTTGAAACTGTAACGATGCGGAACTTAAAATAAAGTAAATTATAAATTAAGTGCGGAAGCAAAATAATTGCGTTAAACTTTACATTCCTTACACAATAATTTAGAATACCCAATAGGAATACGGCAATAACCCTTCTAAAAGAACAATTAATAATTGAAGGAGTAAATGAAAAGTAAACAAACTGAACATTCTAATCGCAACTCTCTTGTGGATCGGGATCTAAATCTTGGTTCTCTTGATCTGAAATAGTTAACGAAAGAGTGAATTACACTCACTCAGTAAGAATGTCACACTACTCAAAATGAAGGTTGGTAAAAATCATGAAAACAACTAATGAAACTCTTATTTTAAGTAAATTTATTTATCATAAGTAAATTTATTTATCATAAATAAAATCATTTATTGTACACTTACTGTAGCGAAATTTCCAAAATTGACTTATAGAGTCAATAACAGAAACAATATTATAATCTCATGTATAATTAAATAGAATAACAACTTTTCTTTTTTATCTATCTACTGGTATTCATGGGGGTTCATAGGGATGTCCCCACTATGCGTGAACCCTTATTCAACATTTTCAATTAACCGGCCGTTCCCATACCCCGTCCAGTATGATCGTCAAAAATACTATCCCTCAATACTCTGTCTGATATGAGGGTGAAATAGGCTGCCCTCATACCCCGTTCGGTATGACCACCAAAGTACCAATCATGCATATCCCGTCCGGTATGAGACAATGTTTACGGTAGGGTTCCTTATGTACTCGGTCCGTCCACCATCTTTCAGGATATCCAGTAAAGCTATCATTCATTCACTCACTTAATCAAATAATTTTCCGTTTACATTTAATTTCTAGTTTCACAATTTAACTGTAAATTACGCAAAACAAACAATACATGTATCAAAGAAACACAACTAAATCATCTTACCAACTCCAACGTCTTATCATGTATTAAAAACTGTAAAATCAATCAAACAGGATAAAATATGGATAATAACCGGTTCCGCCTCTATTAGTAACTTGTGATTAATTATCGAGATTTCCTAAATTATACAAAACACCACATTATTTATAATTAAACTTCAATTCTATAACAAGGAATAGGATAAGTGATTTTTACCCAAATCGGTATCCGAATGCTAAACTTTTAGCTGTGCCTATTAGTGGTCCATGGGTTCCCTGAATTTTTTTCGGAGATTAAAACACACTTCAAATACTTAGAAATACCCCAAAAATCCAAAATCAGTGTTAGAAACCCTTTCCGGCCAATTTCGGGATTCTGGTACGATGGCGGTTTACCTTAGATTGGCCATTTTCGGTCAGTTTCGGTCAATTTTGGCCTGTTTTGTACTCATTCATGCGAGAAAACACGTTAAGGGGTCTCGGTTGGCCAAAAAAAGTCGAAAAACAAAACCTTATCGGCAGCGGGGTTTTCCGGTGCAGCGACACCGCCAACTCACCTTCGCGGTTGAGCATTTTTCTTCGGTCAACCTGTGAAAAACAAAATGAGAATCGGGAAATGCCTCATCAGAGGCAGTTTTTTTATTTTTTCCGCGCGGTGCTGTCGGGCTTTACCTATGGTTTCGACTCATTCGCCGGTCCTTTTGCTCCGATTTGGCCATGAGGGTGTTCAAAATGAAATTTCGAGTGAATGAAATTTTTTTTACCTCTTTTGGCGGTCGGAGGTGGCTCTAGCACAGCGGCGGGTGGCGGTCAGCTCCATTCCCAGCGACTAGTTCTTCTCCGATGAGGAGTCTGGCGGTTAGGGGTAGGATTTGGTGTGAAGTGAGGTATTTACATCCATTTCCTTCTAATCTGTACTGTCCATCGCGTTTGATTTAAATCGTCCGATCGCGTTTAAATAGAAAATCAATTTAAACCGTTCATTGCAATTTGATCTGAACCGTACGATCGCGTTTAAAGAGAGAACAGATCTGGACTTTCTGCACACGCAAGAACAAATCTGGACCGTCCGATCGCGGGCACACTGATTGCTCGCGTGGTCTCCCACATGGCATCGCGCCAGCATGCCTTGCCACGCAGCCGCTCCAGTTTGTCGGGGCTGCTGACTGAGCGACCCTACGTGGCATATTTTTCCTAAATTGGGTTTTGATCCCTAGTTTCTGATTTTTCTTTCAAAAACACCCCCAAAACCTAAATTTTCACTATTTTTTTCTAAAATTGTTTTCAATTTCATCATCCACATATTTTTCTTCATTTTTACATTAAATAAAAATTCAAAAATTTAAAAATTATATTTTATACATTAATTTTAAATATATTAAAATTAATTTCGGGTATTACAACTCTCCCCTCCTTAAAAGAAATTTGATCTCTCAAATTTTTCTCTCTCATTCAATCAAATAGTTGGGGATACTGGGTTTTAAAATCTGATTCTAACTCCCATGTGGTCTCTCTTTGTGTGTGATTCTACTATACGACTTTAACGAAGAAAATTTTCTGGTTACAGAGTATTCTGCTCTTTCGGTTCACAATACCGATCGGTACCTCCTCGTAGGACAGATTCTCCTGAAGTGAAAGAGACTCGTGGGTCAAAATGTGAGAGGGGTCTGGGTTATATTTGCGTAGCATGGACACATGAAATACATTATGAATCTTGTAAAGTTCTGGAGACAGTATCAGTCTGTAGGCGGCGGTGCCAATTCTGTTTAAAATTTCAAATGGTCCAATAAATCGAGAATTTAGTTTCTCCCTCTTATCAAACCTACTGATTCCCTTGAACGGAGTGATCATAAGGAACACCCGATCACCTTTCTCAAATTCTAAATCTCTCATCCGGTTATCCGCATAACTTTTCTGCCTGCTCTGAGTCGTCTGGATGTTTTTCCTGATCTTAACCATTTTGGCTGTAGTGTCTTACACAAGATCTGGACCAAACAATTTTCTATCATCCACCTCTTCCCAACAAATCGGTAGTTTGCATGGGCGGCCATACAACATCTCGTACGAAGCCATGCCAATACTTACTTGGTAGCTGGTATTGTAAGCGAACTCTATTAGGGGTAAATGATTATTCCAATGGCCCCTGAAGTCAAGAACACAAGTTCGGAACATATCCTCCAGTGTGCGGATCGTTCTTTCTGATTGTCCATCAGTCTGAGGGTGGAATGTAGTACTAAGGGATAGTTCGTTCCTATGACTTGCTAAAAACTAGACCAGAATCGAGAAGTGAATCTGAAATCCCTGTCGGACACTACTGTTACTGGCACTCCATGTAACCTTACTATCTCCCGGATATACATTCTTGTTAGCTTGTTCAAGAGGTCGGTCATCCTGATGGTTAAGAAGTGAGAAGACTTGGTGAGGCGGTCAACAATTACCTAAATGACATCATGTCCCGAGCGTGCCCTAGGCAATCCTGTCACGAAATCCATTGCGATATGTTTTCACTTCCATTCTGGAATTGGTAATGGCTGAAGTAACCCGCCTGGCATTGATACTCTGTCTTGACTTGCTGACATACCAAACACTTGGAAACAAAGTCGGTCACTTCTCTCTTCATCCTGTTCTATCAAAATCGGGATCGCATACTTTGATACATCTTAGTACTTTCGGGATCCATGACAAACTTTGAGATATAAGCCTCTGTCATGATGTCCCTTTTTAGCTCACTGTCACCTGAAACACACAGCTTGTCCTGAAATTTAAGTAATCTATCAGCAGAGACTCGAAATTTTGAATTACTTCCCTGTTCTGCATCTTTTTTGAGAGCTGTTAGGGTGGAATCAGCGGATGAGACTTCCTTTATTTTATGAATCAACTCAGGTTGAACAGTCAGGTGGGCCAAACATGTGACTCTCTTCAGGTCCTGAAATTGTAACTGTTATGGCCCATATTCCCCTGCATTCTGAAACCATTAGGTGAGCTAATATACCTGCATTTTTTCTGTTGAGTGCGTCGGGTACCACGCTGCTCTTACTCAGGTGATACAAGATGTTGCAATCATAGTACTTGAGGAGTTCTATTCATCTTCTTTGACGCATGTTGAGATCTGAGTGAATATGTGTTTCAAGCTCTTATGGTTGGTGTAGATCTGAAAGGTCTCTCAATGCAAGTAATGGCGCCAAGTCTTCAAGGCGTGAATAATCGTGGCAAGTTCTAAGTCATGGGTGGAGTAGTTTTTCTCATGACTTTTCAACTACTGGACCCATAGGTTATGACATTTCCATACTGCATCAGAATACAATCCAACTCCAGGTAAGAGACATCACTATAAACTGTATATCCATCTGTTCTACTCGGCAAAGCCAACACAGGTGGAGTAGTCAATCACTTCTTTAATTCTGAAAAACTTCTTTCACAGTTTTCGTTCAACTCAAACTTGATGTTCTTCTTTGTGAGTCGAGTCAAAGAAGTAGGTAGACTAGAAAATCCTTCCACAAATATGCGGTAATAACCTGTCATTCCCAGAAAATTACGAATCTCCTTGACCGAAGTTAATTTTTCTCAGCCGAGCATTGCCTCAACCTTTTCGGGGTTCACTGAGACTCCACTTGATATGATGTGCCCTAGGAAAGTAGTTTGCTCGAGACAGAACTCACACTTGCTCAGCTTTACATACAACTTCTTTTCTCAGAGGACCTGTAAA